CAGCCATTTTTATTTTAATGAAGTGGGGGATATTTAAATCCCCACTTCATTGACTATGTCGGGTAGTCTAATTTACATGCTTCTGGTGACAGAGGCATGTAGTCTAGACATACCCTTAGAGACTAACAAATGTATTAGGTCATGAGTTGTTGTGGGTAAAACACCCTTCAGGAAGCCATTCTTCTACAAAGCAATTTTATCGCCCGATTACAAAGGGAGACAGCTGAATTGGAATTCATTTACAAGTTCAACACTATCAACTTGGGCTTGAACAAAGATATTAACTGGTTAGTGCACTACAAAGGCAATTTCTAGTGCATGAGAAGGGAGAACAGCAAAAAAGACACAATGGATTTCAGGAAGGCAGATTTTGGTAAGTTCAGAGAGCTGGTAGGTAAGTCCCATGGGAAGCAAGAGCAAGAGGAAAAACAACTGAAGAGAGTTGGCAGTTTTTCAAAGAGACATGATTAAGGGCCCAAAAGCAAACTATTCTGTTGCGTAGGAAAGATAGAAAGTAAGGCAAGAGACCACTTGGCTGAACCAGGAGATCTTACATCATCTAAAAATCAAAAAGGAGTCATATAAAAAGTGGAAACTAGGTCAAATTACAAAAGATGAATATAAGCAAATAACACAAACATGCAGGGGCAAGATTAGAAAAATGAAGGCATAGAATGAGCCCAATCTAGCTAGAGACATAAAGGAGACATTCTACAAATATATTGGAAGCAAAAGGAAAACCAAAGACAGAGTAAGCCCATTGCTCAGTGAGGAGGGAGAAACAATAACAGAAAACATGAAAATGGCAGAGGTGATTAATAACTTCTTTGTTTCAGTTTTCATCCAGAAGATTTATGGTGACAGGATGCCGAACACAGTGAATGCTACTGGAAATGGGGTAGGGTTAGAAGTTAAAACGAAAAAAGAAAAAGTTAAAAATGAGATGCCTGCAAGTCACCATGGCCTGATGAAATGTATCCTTGTGGATACGGGAGAAGGGAGGATGTGGTACACCTAGACTTTAATAAAGCATTGGTCTCCCATGACCTTCTTATTAATAAACTAGGGAGATACAACCTAGATGCGGCTACTATAAGGTTGGGGATTTTAATAGGGGATTTTAATTATCCCCATATTGACTGGGTACATGTCACCTCAGGAAGAGAAGCAGAGATAAAATTCCTCAATGGCTTAAATGACTGCTTCTTGGAGCAGCTGGTACAGGAACCCACAGGGAAGAGGCAATTCTCAATTTAGTCCTGAGTGGAGCGCAGGATCAGGTCCAGGAGATAACTATTACAGGACCGCTTGGGAATAGTGACCATAATAATAACATTTAGCATTCCTGTGGTGGGAAGAACACCTCAGCAGTCCAGCACTCTGGCATTTAATTTCAAAAAAGGAAATTACACAAAAATGAGGAGGTTAGTTAAACAGAAATTAAAAGGCACAGTGACTAGAGCCAAATCCCTGCAAGATGCATGGAAACTTTTTAAAGACACCATAATAGAAGCCCAACTTAAATGTATACCCCAAATTAAAAAAACATAGTAAGAGACATAAAAAAGAGTCACCGTGGCTTAACCACCATGTAAAAGAAGCAGTGAGGGACAAAAAAGGCATCCTTCAAGAAGTGGAAGTCCAATCCTAGTGAGATAAATAGAAAGGAACATAAACACTGTCAAATCATGTGTAAAAATGTAATAAGAAAAGCAAAAAAAAATTTTAAGGAACAACTAGCAAAAAACTCAAAAAGCAATAGCAAAATGTTTTTTAAGTACATCAGAAGCAGGAAGCCTGCTAAAAAACCAGTGGGTCCCCTAGACGATCGAAATATAAAAGGAGCAGTCAAGGACGATAAAGCCATTGCAGAGAAACTAATTGATTTCTTTGCTTCAGTCTTCACGCCTGAGGATGTTAGGGAGATTCCCAAATCTGAACCGTCCTTTGTGAGTGATGAATCTGAGGAGCTGTCCTGGATTGAAGTGTCATTAGAGGAGGTTTTGGAACAAATAGAAAAACTTAATGTTAACAAATCACCGGGACCAGATGGCATTCATCCAAGGGTTCTAAAATAACTCAAATGGGAAATTGCAGAACTGTTATCTGTGGTTTGTAACCTATCCTTTAAATCGGCTTCTGTACCTAATGACTGCAAGGTAGCTAATATGACACCAATATTTAAAAAGGACTCTAGAGGCAATCCTGGCAATTACAGACTGGTAAGTTTAACTTCAGTACCAGGCAAATTAGTCGAAACAATAGTAAAGAATAAAATTGTCAGGCACGTAGAAGAACATAATTTGTTGTACAAAAGTCAACATGGTTTCTGTAAAGGGAAATCATATCTTACTAATATATTAGAGTTCTTTGAAGGGGTTAACAAACATGCAGACAAGGGGGATCCAGTAGATATAGTATACTTAGATTTTCCAAAAGCCTTTGACAAGGTCCCTCACCAAAGGCTCTTGTGTAAATTACATTGTCATGGGATAAGAGGGAAGGTCCTTTCATGG